TGTTATAATAACCCACATACGTATTATTTATATTCTTTATCAGCTTATCAATAATATATTTTTTTTAGGTGAACACTTTTTCTACCAGAAAGCTTACTTTGATTATCATGTATAGCACCTTTTCTGAAAGAAAATGTTCTTTGGGTGGTACTTTAGAGCCTAGAAAGATAATTTTTTGAAATTCTCATTAATATTCGAGATAGTAAGGAAAACTTGGTTCTTTAGGTTAATAAAGATTGAAAATAAGGTTGTCACCGGCAACCGTTTTTATTATTTAAACCTTTTTTAAACAATTATTGTTGTCATGAAAATGCACATTTTTGTAATCCTTTTACTATAATATGTCATAATATAATATATTGTTGACAAAGCAACAATATAAACTGAACTCTACACAGAATCGTGTTTTTGTTAGCAATAGTTTATCGTTTACATTAAATTCCCGCCTGTTCTTACATTCCCACCTACAAATAATAGCTGCACCCACGTATGAAGTATGTTCATCCTTTATTTTATCTTAATCTTCTTAAATATATAACTGAACAACAATATATACATAACTGGGAACGAAGCTTGGAATGCATTACTTTTAAAATAAAGAAACAAGGAACGGAAAATAGTATTTTATTTATGTAGAACACAGTAGAAGTATTATTAAAAAGATAATTTCATTTAATGGTGAGAGACGTTATAAGCTTACGATTGGAAATTTTAGAACTCTAGGTCTTCTGTTATTTTTGTTTTTTACATTTTTTTTTTCAAAGTTCTTTTGACGTTTATAAGCTTTTTTCTGTGGATTTTAAATGCATAAAGACCCAAGTCCTGTTTATGAATAATGACTCATAAAACCCTATAAAATATGTATACATTTCTAAAGCAAACTGAATATTAAAAATATAAGAAAAGCTAGTTTGGACTTTATATCATGAAAGTGTTAATAAAACCTAGGAACGAGGGACGAGAAAGAATTCCTTTTTAAAAGGAATTTTTCTAACATTGATATAAAGCGCAGTAATTAATTCTATAACGTTTCCTGCAGTATAATATTGAAAACCGATAACGACGTTGTCAAAATAAATTAAATTAATTTTTATATGTGAATAAGTCTTTTATTTGGAATTGCGTGTACCTACATTAAACTAGTGTCTATTTTTTCAACTTTAGTATATCATTTTAATGAGTATTTTCTGAATGTTTAGAGAGAACATACAATAATATATTCGAATTATTTGCTCGGGAAACATGACGTACACAAACATTATTCACATCGATTTTTATCAAGATAGAAGGGTGACCGACTATAATTTTATAGTGTTTATGACTAAGGGTGCATATATATTTATTTTTCGGACAAATTCCCTAGACAAAACTTCCAACTGACGATAAGAGTTCGTTATTTTTCATTCGGACACGTTACATGCAATGTAAAAGATAAATAAAATATTGAACATGTTATACTATCATAATACCACAATAATACAAGTAGGTACCTAAATATAGGTAATGCGTGTTATTATTTATCATTAATAATACGCGCGGTGTAATTTTAAGATTCGATATACAATGAAAACGTGTTTTTAAAAAGGTATACCTATTACATTTTATATTTTTTCCGGGAAGCATATTATTTTGTTATGTATTTACTTATTTTATATAAGTAATTGTAAAATATTATTTTTTTTATATAGGTATCCATATGAGTGTGATGCTCATAAAAACATCGTGCCAAATCAAAATATATGTTTAAATTATTAAACTTTTTTGCCTATAATTATATAGATGTATTTTATGCACGATCTTAACACTAAATATTATTGAGATTTATTCTCTACTTTTTGCTAGTGTATAAAACATTTTTCTATATCGGAGATGTCATATTCAAATATGATCTGATTATTTTATTCGTAACAGTGGCGACTTGAAGGAGATATATTTGAATCACGTGATTTTAAAAAAAACCATGTGGGTAGTAGTGGGCGTTCAGAAATATAACAAAAATTATTATACTTTTACAAAACAAGTCATTAAAAGAATTTTTGTGTATTTAATTCATATAAACCATGTGTGTTTATTTTTATTTTTTTTTTTTTTTGGGTACCTGTAGTAAACAATTTTTCTATTATTAATCTTGTTCCAATCTAAAAAACGCTAAGACTCCTTTTTTTTGTTGTACATTAGATCTTGCTGCATAAAGGAGGTAATTTTTTGAATTTTTAAATAGTTTTCATAATAATTGTGAAAAACTAGAAAAGAAACGAAAAAATACAAAGAACCAATTTACGGCGTACGATTTTATTATTTTAAACATGTATGCACAATGTTTTCTATCAAAAATATTGCTCCAATAATAAAATCTAAGAGAGGTCTTTTTTGTTGAATTTTTAATCTTGTTGTTGAATAAAAATATAGTTGTTTGATTTTCCATTTAATATTTTTAATAATTGAACAAAACCGAAAAAAAACGTAGTAAGAACGGGAAAATGTATGAATAAAATGTTTTTATTGTTTTTATTTTGACTTTTTCTTGTTATTCTGTTAAAAATATCGTAGACACTTGATATTTTGACAAAAACATATATTTGCTTTTTCTAGACATGGTCAATTTTTTTAAAACATTTGTAGTCTTGTAGATATTTCAATTTTGTAAATGTTTTTACGTAATTTTTTTTACGAGCGTCTAAACTCTAAAGACAGCATACATAATTAGAAATTATAATTAGTGGGCTAATATAAGCAATTTCTTATCATATAATATTGATATTATTCTTATCATTATACATAATTTATTATCACGTATGATAAAAAATCTTAGAAAAAAAATAAAATAAAAGATTTAAGTAAAATAAAATACTAAAGAATAGATTAGAAATGTTCGAAAACATTTTGCATTTATAGTATCTACTACCTACTAATTACCCAGTAAGAGATTATCTGCACGATAATTCTCTGTTTTTGTATTATCATGATGTGATTTCATCATAGACCTTATAAAAGTATAAAATAAGTAAGCTGATTTCTGCAAAAAATAGAAATTTCAGACCTCTCTTTACAAAGCTAAAAATGTTAGAATGACTCACTTCTTACAAAAAACGATGTAAATACCACACAGGAGACCAGAATCATCAAAAAATAATGTTCGACAAATTCGGACTTACGTCCGTTTTGAAAAAACCGATTTATTTAACGTTAGACACTCGTTATCTCAAAGTATTAACTTTTTTCGAAATTAGCTTTTAAAATAATAATAAACAAGTAGCTCTAAAACGTTCATCTCCGCTATTTTTTGTCAATTTTATTTTTGAGAGTGGAACCATAATCCAATTGTAATTTTCAAATACCAACAGATATTAAAAGTTTCATAAATAGACGAAATTTTAATTTAAATATTAATATTGAAATAGTTTTTTTCCGTCAACCCACTGACGAGTTTGTCATTTTGGGTGCAGGAGGGAGTAATGGACCATATATAGATTATTTGTGTAATGGCATAGCGCTTAGCGATTAAACAGTAATTTTGTTAATTCCAAAAAGAAAAAATCGAAATGCAACATTATAAAGAATCATTTTCTACCTATACATATTATAATAATCGGCTGCGCAGTAAAAACTTGTTAATCAATTTTTAACAAATTATAAAAAACCAAAGCAAGAAAACTTCAAATTTAAAATAGACTACAAGAAAAATTATAAAACTAACTTTCCTAAATCAACTATATTAAAAATAATACAAGAAATTTCCTGTAGTTTTCAATGGGAAAACTAAAAATACAATTTTTTCAAATTACAACGCAACGATTTAAAATGTTTTAGATAATATTTTTCTACCAGAAATCTTTGATCGAATTTCAAGAATAGAATATTTTCTGAAAGAAAACTTTATTTAGTTTGTGAGTCAGAAAGTTGTTGTTTATTTTTCGTATAGTTTACCAATAATTACGAATAATTAGGAAAAAACGTAAAAAATATGGCAAAGTGTACGGCATTTCAATTTTTTGTTATTCAGTTAAAAATTATTGTGGAGACCTTCAGTTTTCACAAAATACTTATATTGGCCTTTTGTAGCCGTGGTAAAATGTTCAGAATATTCTAGCTATTCTTAGGCTATGTATAGGTATTTAAGATTTTCGTGTTTTTATATGTATTTTTATTTAGTAAAGAAATCTGTTATTAAAATTGTATGAAATGCTTGAAAATCTAACACAAGGTACATTATAAGCTTTACTCAGTAGTCAAAAAATCAAATTTGAGTTTAATGTATATTTTTTTTTTTTTTTTAAGCATTTTAAGATCCAAATTTGACGAACATTTTAAAAATTACAGCTTAATATATCTTACCGAATTTTAGTCCAAATTGTTTTTCGTTTTAATGGTTTATATTTGAGTACAGATATATAAGTTAAATAAACTTATATATCCTACATCCCCAACTTCCCCCTAAAACAGTGGCTGCATTCATCCACAGTTTCAGCTCTTTTTTTTCAGTTATTTTTGGTTTTATATGGATACGAAATCTATGTAGATATGCTCAAAAATGTAACACAATATTCATCATAAATTTCTCTTACGATATTAAAAAAATATTGCACACGGTTTTTTTTTATAATCATTTAAAATTCAAATTTTGATGACTTATATAAATATGACTTTTAACATACTATCCGATCTAATTCTTGAAACTAATAAAGCGATTGTTTATTAACATACAGAATCGAAATTATGCTTATAACTTACTCCGTAATCAATGAAAAATAAAAAAACCATGATACTTGGCTAAGTAGGTCTAGAACCAATCCGTAAAAACGATTTTCATTTTATAAACAGAAAATTATCTTAATGCATGTACCAACTATACCCTAGATATGATTTAATAATAATTATGATATTATTACTATCGTGTTAATTAATAATATGCATATGAGTGTATATAAAATTCTAAAACTTCCATTATACGTAGTTTTGTAATAAATAATAAAAAAAACATCAATGACATATTATTTATTCATCATTTTATTGGGAAATAGTGTTTCATAAATTGTTTTATTACAATCATAACGTAAAAAACTATAATATAATAATTTAATCAAAATTATTATAAATATTTTTAGGGCAATTTTTCAAAATTCTAATTAATTTTTTATATAAAATTGATACTATAAGTATATGTACTTTTATAATTGAAAAAACAAATGATCTACTTAAGTGAGACGTTTTTAAAAAAAAATGTGTAATACTGCAATTTAATTTATTCGCAGGATCATTGCAATATATTCTTTTCTTAATCAGGTAAGAGATTAGTGAGATTAACTAATCAAAGATAATTTCTTCCTCAAAAAGAGGTCCTTCATACTGAGAACTTTGATAAGATGGTGTGCCTTCATGTAACGGTGGATGATTACTCCACCAATCAGTCATGGAGGAAATAATTGTCGAGATAAAATTGAAATTTTTATATGTACTTCTTTCTTCGGTAGTACAATCAATGTCCTGAGCGAATGGATATTGACTGTTTGTTTCGAAATAAAAAACACCATCATCAACTCTTAAAAAAAGAAATACACAAATATTAGTATAATTAAATAAATAATAATCGATAGATATTTAAAAATAATTTGTAGTATTTATTTATAAGCAACCCATGTTGGTATCCCCAATTTTCTTCAATTTTGCAAATTTTGAATATCTATAATATTTAACATTTAAATGGTAAAATTTCTTTTTCCCCTATCGACTAGACAGAACATTATTATGAAATAATATAATTTCACACAAATAATATATTGATAAATAATAAAATTCTACAGCTCGAATTTCACTATGACAATTTTAGATTCTGAATGGAGTGAAGAAACGTATAGTTTATCAATGATGTTTATATTTAATATATTTTTTTTTTTATCTATGGACAACTTTTCTACCAGAGATCTTGCTAAAATTGTTAAATGTAGCACCTTTTCTGAAAGGAAATCGGTGTGGAGAGGTATATTAGGAAATTATTTTACCATAAAACGTATACATTGTTGACAAAACGTCACTGAACTTCGCTCAAAATCGTTTTTTCGTTAGAAATGATTTATCGTTACTTACAGATGTATATTATATTACTTATAACAGTGGCTGCACCCGACCCCATTATCCTAGGACGTCTTTTTAATTTATTCGCTGGTATAAATTAATTTAATATTAAATATGTATGTTTAATCGAACTTTAATCTAACCTCTGTATCGTTAACAATGATATTTTTTTACGCGCATTGATATAAATTAAATTTCATTATTTATAATATAAACTTTCCCACTTACAATAGTGACAGTTTACAGTACTGCAAATTACACCAGCTAATTTTTCGTTTGTATACATCAATTTGTACTCAAGTGCTCGATATATTTTACTATGTAGGTTAAGCCTGCCACTCCCCTTCTCCTCTCCCACTAATTCAATTTTTTAGTGCCTGTATTAAATATGTATTACATGATACTGAAATCAGAACAGTATGCGCAAAGTTATCAGGAATGTGGCGAAAAGATATGCTGGAGTATCCTATGATGTATTACCAGAAAAAAGTTTGCCAAAACACGAATTAAATATTTTCACATTTGTTCATTTTCCTATTTTGTAAGAACTTTTTATTTAAAAATCAACATATCTATTTCCTATTCTGTATTTCTGGGGTTCTAAAAAAAAAAATGATGTGCTGGTTATGCATTGGCATGGAAAATTCAACACCCTTATATTAAGTTTATGCTTGATAGAGAAATTAATAAGGAAGAGGAAAAAATCTGAAAAAAAATGTAATAATTTTCGTAACCTGTCTGGGGACACCTGGAAATTAGTTTTCTAAAATCAAGATTAGAACTTCCTTAATATTAATAGATTCCAAAAGTCCAGAAATTCTTTTGGGCTCCGAATTTATGTTTACCTTCAGTTGGACTTACTTCTCTTGATTGGTCTCCAAATATTCTCCGAACTTATATTTTGCACTATCATAAATTATTTTATTTTTTAGTCCGAGTAAAAAACTCATAGGTTCATTATGGCCCCTTCTCTTGGAAAAAAATCCATATTTGGGATCCTTATATTCAATCGATTCTGCAAATAATGTATACGCTCTTTTGTGACTACAATTGTACCCATCATCTGAAAAATGTGCCTTATAAATCACAAAAATATTCAAACTTGTACATTGATTTTATGCATTGTATGTATTTTAAAATGGATGGAGTAGAAGTGTCCACGATGTGTGAGTAATTATAAACCAAATAGCCATATACCTGCTATCTGCATATACCATATAGCTGTATTCAAAAACATGATTTTTTATTTATTGTTCGCGTTGTAGCCAGGAACATTGGCACATCTCTATTGGTTTTAAATATACGCAAATTAACATTTTAGTTATGCAATAATAAGAAAATGAGAATAAACTATATTCAAACATTTATAACGCTATCGAAATAATATCCATTCAACTATTTTCGGTGTAAATAATAAAAATCCACTTATCTTATAAATGGTTTTATTACCTATATTTTAAAAATTACTCGAACACAAAGCACAACTACACAGTTTGATGACGTCGATCCAAATCTTGATTTTATTTATTAAAACTAGATGTCATTTTGGAAATTATTGAACTATTTATAGTCATTTGAAGTCTTTGTACCATTTTCATTTTATTTAATTAAATGCGAATACAATTTTTTTGGCAAAATATACATTTTTCACAAATTTCATCCTATATTGATTTTAATATTAAAACAATGTTGAGTAATGTAATGCAGTAGTTTTTTATTATGCACATTAACAGTTAAATAATTTGATGGAAATCAATATTTCGCATATTGTTTTTCTATTCATGGGTATACAACTTGTTGGACTTTATTAAATTACCTATACCCACTGTCAAATATATCACATTTTGGTTGGCATAATCCACCGTTGGCATAAAAGATATGCGTTCCAATTGGAAATATTTGACCTAAGCTTCCAAAATTTGTATACAAAACGTCCACAATAGGTGCACTATCTTTATTCAATATACTTCTTTTTCCTTCGAAATTGAGTAAAACAGGTTCTAGAGCTATTTATCAAAATAAATCAAATTAAATTCACGATAAATCAATATTGGTTGAATAAGTAATACGAGTACATGTATAGTAATTATTGTGATAATCACTTTGATATTTACTAAAATAATTATCACTTGCCTGTAATTCTACTTATCGTATGAGAGAAACCACCGTTATTAGTGATTTTTAATTTGTTTGCCAGAGATCCTGCGATTTGAGCTCCCAAGCTGAATCCGATGACGTGTGTATTTATTATACTACCGCTATTTTCCTTTATTATCTTATACAAAATTCGTACCGTACATTTTGCAACGAGTTCAACGACATCGTACACTCTATATGGCATACCTATCAAGTTGTCTCCTAAAAATTTGTAATCAACCACTAGTATATTGCGGTTACTATCTACTGTAAAATAAGCTGAAAAAAAAAAATTGCGTGTTTATTATTTTTAGATTATAAAAATTATCTATCAAATCTATCTATCTATCGACAAAATGTAATTGAATAGTATTTATGATATATTTAAAATTTCCCAATGCAGGTTACTAAAGTGTTTTTTATTCACTTAAAATAAATAATACCATTGACAGTGAGAGGCGAAGGGAGCTACAAGGCCTCACCATTGTCCATGTTAATTACAAAAAAAAATTTAACATTGAAAAATGATTAATATTTTTATAAAATCAAATTTGAATTATGATGGTTTATATAAATCTACATTTTTATTCCGATTTGGATGAAACTTTGCACATTTGTCATTCAAAACGAGAGAAAGGTATTTTGTTTTATCTCAAATTTAAACCCCTAAAATGTGTTTTTGCTATTTTTGAATCGAAAATTGAATTTTTTCTATTGATTTATATGTTACTTTGGCCTTAGCGATATGCATGAAAAAAAAAACAATTTTATTTTATCAAAATGTGACGTTTAACTATTATATGCTAAATTTAATTTAATAAGTAGTAAATAGTTAATGAATTAGTGTTATTTTATGAATTTATTTATTTAAAAATATAATTAAATAACAATTAAATACTAAGAGAAGATGTGATTAAATTGTGTCTTTTCAGTTTTCACTAAAGATTTGTAGATAGTGTTTTCAGAGCATTCCGAATTAATCGGCCTCGTAAAATCTGACGCCGGCACTCTATAAAATTCACAAAATGTACACATATAAACGCATAAAAGATGCTTAGCGCTTATTTCTAAAACAGTGATATTAAAAAATAATAGAGCGATTCGAACTTGCGATATACCTATTTAAAATAGCATATAAATGTTCAAAAAAAGAATGCGACAACGTACGGTATACAACAATAACCGAACGGGAACTGCTCATTAATCTTAACTAAGTTACCTGAATAATTCTTACCGTTTCAGATTCCTCTCTGGGAATTTCACGTCATTCCCAAACCATGTCAGTATATTTCCTATAATTTTGTTTATTATCAAAGTCTCACCTAATCTACCTCTTATTTACTTATTCCTTATTTGCAGTGGCGTATTTTCAATTTTTTCTAAAGGGGGGGCAATTATTCTGACGTGATATAGGTGCTGATAAAGAAATAGTTTTTAATAGATTATAAAAATAGAAAGTAATTATTTTCACAGATATTTTAAATTCATAGGGTAATTTGAACACAAGTATATTTTATAACTTTAAAGTACAAAATCTAATCGTTTCTTTTTTTATAAAGTTCATCCAAAATTTCTTGTGGTGATAGAGAATCTCTTCTGTGAATGGACATCATAGCCAATCAATTAAGTGTATTTTAGAAAAAAGAAAACATACATTTTACACAAATAAAAAAATTAATATTTTACTGAATAAAATGTTAACACTTACTTCAGATAACCTCCAAATACTTGATAACCCATTTTATTTTCTGATTGTTTAATAACTAGTGGAAGCACAGCTCTACGTTTCAAAAATATAAAAAAATCTCGACATTTTCGAACTTTCTTAAACAATTTCTTATACTTTGAATACTACATGATGAAGAAGCAGAAAGATTGAGAGGATGGGCAGAACAATGAATATAAATGGCTATTGGATGAGCTTGTTTAATATGTTACTGAACACCATTATATTTCCCCGACATTGCAACCGCTCCATCAAAACCTTGCTCAAATAGATACTATGTTTCGATTACAAAATGTTTTAAGTTATCCAGTATTAAGGTAGCTAATCCTTTACCAGTTAAATCAGTTGTTGGAACAAACTGAAGAAAATCTTCATGTTATGTACATGTTTCTAAATTTACATAGCGGGCACAAATGGAAACTTGTTCAATTCCAGATATATCAGCCATTTCGTCCACAAGGACTGTGAAGCATTTTTCACTCTATTAACAATCTTAGAAAGTAAAATAGAATTACAAGCATCAAGTATGGCATTCTGATTAATGGAACTAATGTATTTAATACGACATGAACTTTTAAAGAATATTTTTAAATTGGCATCACCAAGTGCTCGATATTTTAAAATATTACGAAAATTTCCATCATTTTCTCTGGGCTCCAAATGTTCTTATTCAATTTTACCAGAATCACAATGGCCTCTGATTGAAAAGTTTTGCTCCTCACATAAAAGTATAGTTTCTATTATCTATTATTTATATTATATATTTTCTATTTTTCATTACTTGTTTTGCATGACTAGAATCCAATTTGTTTTCAATAGATAATGATGGATTTTTTTTTTATATTTAGGAAATTATCAGTGTCTGATAAACATTTTAAATGATATTGTAAACTGAAATGATTTCTAAAAGTTTCAGTTTCGTGTTTCCAACTATGAAATGGTTTTTTGACTAAAGCACCAAGTGGTTAGGAATTGGTTCCTGCTTCGTTATTAGCAAATGCAACACAAAATTTACAAAACACTCCATCAAACTTTAAAGAATACGCTAACCAAGTAAATTTAGACAACCATGAAAATTTAAATCTTGAATTTTTTTACAACTTATATTTAGTGGAAATTGAAAATTATTTTCAGGTTTCCAAATTTGTTGTAGAATTTTTTCAATTTCGTGTTGCTTCAACAAACAATTCGTATACATACCTATATCATACTTCTTTTCATCTACTACTTTATCAGAAAATACATTCGATTCATAAATATTGGGCATTAAAGAACGTTTTTTTGTTGTAAAAGATAGAGGTAGAGATAGTTGTAAGAGAGGTCCAGTACACCTAGACCCCCCCCCGTAAATACGCCATTGCCTTATCCTATCTTCTCTCATCATTACACTTATTCACTTAAGCATTATCGTCTCTGTTATACTTATTCTCATTTCTATTTTTCCGTCTACGACATTTTTGTAGACATTAACTTTAAATCTTATTGAAATTCTCGTGTGACATAAAACACCTTACACTTCTTTCCACTTCATCCACCACACTTAATCCTATATTTCACATTCTTATAAAAGTTACCGTTCTTTTATACAAAAAATCCTACTTAAAACTTTTAACCTCGCTTATTGTCGTTAGTTGTCTTGTTTTATTCCTCCAAATTTATACTCTATTTTACTTCTACTTATCCGTAATCCCTTTTCTTCAAGTGCTAATTTTAATTCCTGAAACCGATTGTTAACGTGCCTATTCTAGATTTTCTATTATCATGCACCATATTACCTCCTCTGACATTGTCACTACGCACATCCGAGATAAAACAATCCGCTAAAGTCTTGTTTAGAACTCTTCGTACCGTTTGACAGAATTTTACACCGGCTGTCAAACTAATACAACCTCATTTATCGACTCTAAGGATAAGTAGAGGTACTGTATGAATGTTATCTGATACCTAACCACAAGGAGTATGGTATTATTAACTATAAAGTGAATTCCTTCAACCTACAGAAACATTACCATATACCTATTGAAATCACCCCCCTAGGCTTTCCACCAATAGGAGCTCGGGGCCCCGGGTTTTCTATACCCGTAGTATCATATACCTCCCTTCATTTTACGAAATCAATTATTTTATATTTTAAATCGTTTGGATGAAATCGACGCATGGTTCACTTACATTTTCTAATCAGTATATTAAACGCATCATCTTTATGTCCATAGGCTCCGTGTATCATTATTTTCAAATTTATAGGATTTATCGAATTCAATATTATATGTTCGGTACCTTCTGAAACTTCAGTGGGAATAGGTTTGCCTTTGTTATCCTGTCTGTGATCATAATATATTATAACAGTATGAGATTCTTGATTTAGAAATTTAAAAAAAAACCGTTATTATAAGAAAACAAATATTATAAACGCACTGTGTGTACAAATAAAATTTAACATAATTATTTGGGCATTTGTCTTTGTCATCTTTTTGTAAAATGTTTGTTATTGTAGCCACATTTTCCGTCAATTGTTTCTTAAAGAGCATTTCCTTCATTTGTGCATCATTTTCGGTGGTGGTTCCTTTACCATTATCAGCACATATTGTTAAAATGGCTAACAATGTCACCCCTTCAAAAAAAACTGATCATGTTTTCGATTAGTTTTCGTTAAATTTTAGATTCTAATACTTTTTTCTGTCTATTTACAACTTTTCAACCAGAAAACTTGCTCCAATCGAAAAAATTTTTCATTAATGAACCGATCAACAAATTGAAAAAAAAAAAAAGATAAATATTTTAAAATGGTATTCAAAAAAAGCAAGGGGCACATTTTATTAGTAATTTAGGGTGGGGAGGGAATGTCTGAGGTTGTGAAAAGTGGTGAGTGAAAATAAGAGGGAGTAGAAGGAGTGGCAATAAAGTTGTTTCACCTCGGAGCGCATATATTCTAATTGTGCCACTGGATATAACTAATTTAATCCTATTTATTATAGCTTATAATATAATTGTGATGTAAGCAAATTTGTAAAAAAATACACTTTAAACGTATTTTGAGTACAATTACAGATAATCTTTCTTTCAAGATGTATTTAAAACGAGTATTATTATTTATAAAACAGTGTGGTAACGATGGTCTAAATTATCGGAAATTTATCACTTGTTGAAATTTAATTATAATTCTATTATCCGATACTAATGATATACTAATGATTGAACTAAGAAAAATATCAAATTTTAATATTGAGTAGGCCGAGAAAATGTACGTCAATTATCTAAAATATCGAAACAATAATTGTATACGTGTCGGTTTAAATATCAATATTTAGATATTATAATTTATATAAATCAGTGGTTAGACGCGTCTAGGAAAGTAGTTCAAGAAAACATAAGTTACAAGGGGTGTCCGGGAATCGGGTCACAATGAACCTTTTTTCGAAAAGATACACGGTAATTGGGCCACTAAAATTTTACATTTATAGCAGGTAAACCCGGTGATTGGGCCACTATTTTAATTTAACTATTTTATACATTTAAGATTTTAAAAAAAGCGAACCTCTATTTAACACCACTATTTTAAACCATATTATTATTTTTTCCACGATTACAAATTTAAATTTCTTATATGTTCGTTAAAATCGAATTATGTTAAGAATACTGTGCAAAGCAATCTGTATCACATTATTTTTAAAAAAAATTATAATTATTTGACTAATTTTAAATTTATTAAAAAAAATATTGAATATAATCACTATCTTGAATGAGAACAAATTATTAATTATTTAACTAATTTTATAGGTATTGTATTTTATATTATACATTTTAATATATTTTTATGTTATACATTTGTGACCCAATCTCTGGGTACTCTTTAAAAATATACCTTTTATTTGTGGCTCGGGTAATAAAATGTACAAAAATATTGTTTACGAAGCAGGTAGATCGTAGATAAAATGTGGCCCAATTCCCGACCGCCAGTTACACAAATATAAAACCATGAAATCATGATGACGTAAAATAAATTTATTCGTTTATCCTACGTCTTTTCCCGATTTTCCTAACTATAATAAATAAATAAAATAAATAATAATAATAAATCCATTGAAAAATTATCTTCTTAAAATACTAAAAAGAAACATTTTTTTTCAGAAAAGTAATTTAATAATAAGCTTCACAAATTTTAAATTTTTTTTTTTTTTATTCTGATATTCATACAAAAATCCTTATTTTATAATATTTATCTATAGGTATTAATTTAATAGATAAGTAATTTAAAAGTATGTGAATAATTAATCTAGTTTTATACATTATTTGTGCATAAACGACTTAATATTTTATAAGTTTTAATATTAAATCTATGAAACTGTAACTTATATAAATATTTTTTATGTACCTTTTTTGAAAGCAAACATATTGTTTTGACTGCTTGCCAAATTGAATGTATGACTCGTCTCGGTTTACTGCTTAGTTCATATGGGTTATCGATAAATTTATTATACTTATACAATATTTGTTTGTCATTTATTCAGGTTAAATGCAACGACAGACATGTGTAAAATGTAAAGTACAGAATAGGTTTTCGTAAAATAAACAAAAATATTAGGTCACTGAATATTAATATTAAAATGTAAAATAACTTAAATGAAATCTTAAGTAAACATATAGTTATCTTTTGTTTCTTGTAGAACACTATCAGCGTACTATTTATTTTCTTACATTATTATTTTAAATAAACATTAATATTTTAAAATAATAAATTAATTTTAACTGAATGACTATATAAAAAACTCAAACCTACATTTAATACTTTTAGGCTTATTTTATCAATATCCAATTAAAATAATTTAACCTCCAATAATGTTAGCCCCCAGTTAAACTAGAAATGTGATTTGATCATTATTTGGTTACTACTTTAACTGGAATTTAATAATACGATAATTAATTCGAGATATTTGACCAGTTAAAGAGTTTAACAAGAGATTAGGTTCAACAATTTTAGGTCATATTTTTACTATATGTATGTGATGTTATAATTGCACTTTTTTATTCGATTTTTTATTTTATTGTTTCTTGTATTATTTATAAATTGAATTTAAAAGAAAGACAGACATACTTCGCACGAGGGTATAGCCCCTGTTGTAAGTGGGAAGTTGGGAATATAGGATATAGAAGAGAATTTAATGTTTATTTGTAAGTAACGATAAACCATAGTTTGATAAAAGATGATTCCGAGCACAGTTCGGTAATACATAATTTGAAGTGCCGTAATTTATTTTTGCGATTTTCGTTTAAATTTGATTTCAACTTTTTTTATTAAAAAAAAAAAAAGTCGTCCGATCATTTTGGAAATTTGACCACATCTAGGTAAGCCCAATATAAGTATTATTACCAAATTTAAAGTCTCTACATTTAAATTACAATCTAGACAAATTGAACTTTCAAAAAAAGTGCTACAGGTGAAAATCGGAGCAAGTTTACTAGAAAAAACATGTCCACAGACTAGAACAAAGAAAAAAAGAAAAAATAAACAGCATTGTAAAACCAATACATTCTTCGATTCACTTAGAATCTAAAATTAATTTTAGTAATTCTACATGAATACAATATAAAAAGTAGTAGTAGTAGCAGTAGCATAGTGACGAGGATAACGAAGTCATCTTTGTTAGTGTTTTCGCAACTTAATTTGTACAGCCTTTTTTAAATTGTTGTATTTAAATTTCAAATATTTATCGCTACGGTATCCATTAAGTCATTTACTATTGACTAATTTGAATAATACTTGCCATGCTTTGATTGAAACCAGTGCTTCTCAATCTTATTTAAGTTACCGCCCCCTTGAGTAGCAATCAATTTTTAATGCCCCCTATGTGAGAATTCTATAAATAAGGGTATGAGGAGTTCTCTATATAGGAAAAAAGTTGATTTGAAAAATTTAAATAAAAATTGAAATAATCTAATAACTTATATTTTATATTTCATATTTTTTTATTAACTATGGTATTTTAGTAAATTTAGAAAATTAAACATTTGAAAAAAACTTAATAATATTATCAGTCTATATTTTATAATAATAAATATATTTTTTAGTTTATTTAAAAAAAATATTGCTAGGCTTATTAGGTTTTTTAAACGTGAATTTTGATTCTTGTATAAAAAATTAACTTCAGTGAGATGGTTAAACTTTTTTAAACGTGATTTTTAGCAAGTTTTTTGATATTAGGTTTGATATTTTTTAACAGAAATCATGCGTCTCCTTTTGTCACGATTAAAACACTACTTTGTAATTAAATCTGTTACTGTGGTGAACCCTCGCTTAACGAGATATATGGAAGAGAAGACTATTAAAATTTGTTTAACGAAAGTCCAAAATAAAAAAGATGATAAATTGGAAAATAATCAAAGATAAGTTTTTATGGATTGTTTAACATAGTACCTATTAGTAACTAAAAGCTATAATGGATTATCAAGTATGTATTATTTTTAAGTCTTTTCGTGTACAACGTTTTTGCGTGTACACGCTCGCCGCCCCCTTACCACCCAAAACTAGTTCACCACCCTCCCACCGCCAAAACTAGTTCACCATCTCTCGGTAACCCTTCACCGCCCATTGGGGGACGATATCACCCCCGTTGAGAACCACTCTTTTAAACCTTTGCCGTTACAGCATTAGCTGTTTTTTTATTTTCATTAGGTTTTGCTTAATCACCAGATTAACAATAAACTCCAGTTTGTTATCAATTAAATAAGTGACGCGTTCCAGTTTAGTTTTTATTAAACTTATTACTATTTATACACAATTACACAATTACACAAAACACAACATAATTAAAAATTAAATCACTGGATTTTTACTAGAGAAAACGGAAACGTTACGAGATAGCAAAGTGAATATACGGTGAATTAATCTTCAATTAGATTAGGTTAGAGATTAGTTAATCTCAAAATAAATATAATTGATAAAATTATAATTCTTTTAATCTATAGTTAGTTTTATCTAAGACTTGTTAACTGGAAATTTAAAACTGCAGATGGTTGATAAAATGGGCCTTATGCACATTTAAGACAATTTATCACACTGAATATTAGCTTATTAGATTATTTTAATTTTATTTCTTTATTTATATTTTTATAAATTGTAAACAGGTGAATAAGCCTTTAACAAAAGATTACGAGTATGATGCATTTATTTTACTATATCACATATTATTTACACTGTCATGGTAGGTTAAACGTTTTGAATTAATAATTATCATATTTTGACGAAAATTGTAAATATTTCAATATTTGTATAAATTCAAAATATGCATAACCGAAATTCGTTCAGAATCATTTTTCTTTAGCAATGATTAATTATTGCGTATAGAAATGCATTAAATTCCCTTCTTTATATTACCTTCCAAACTTCTCGCCTATAACAGTATAGCCATCGTGCGAAGTATGTCTGGGTTTTTTAATTTTATTATTTTTGAAAAATTTGAAGATAGCTATTTTATAGAGTTTATTATTATTCTTCTGACAATGATTATCAACTTTTTATTTTCATTAAATTCGTGATTTTTAATATATATATATTTTCAAAGTTTCGAGAAATGTACCTATAATTGTGCAGCAGACTGTAAGCACATTCACTAATTGATTATTATTATTATGGTTAATCGACTATATATTTTTTTCTCGGAACTTTACAAAATTATTAAAAAATCACGAATTTATTGAAAAAAATGTTGATTACTCAACATTTTCAGAAAAACACTCTATACAATGGCTATCTTCAGTTTTTTTTTCAAAAATAATAAAATAAAGTGTTTTTTTAATAAAAACATAAAAAATGAACTGAAATTTAAATATTTATAATTCTTATCTCTGCGAATAATATAAAAAAAATAAATAGAATTTGATTATCTTTATTATCTCCAGAGATATTACAATGGATATTACTTTATGGGACCCCTGTATATGTATGTATAATAATTTTAATAATACATATATATATAAATTATTAAAAAATTGAAAATCTGTAGTTTATTAAATAAATTACCAAAACCTATGAATAATTTTTTTATAAGCTCGGGGCCCTGGGTGATTTATATTATATAGTATAACAACCGCAAACCGGATTATGTCTACTCTTGTAAATATGCCACTGAAAGCAAGGGTACCTATATTTTTGCATCATAGTACGGTTAAATATTTTATTTCGTTCAGTTCACAGATTCGATACACTACCATATAATCTGCACGGTCCTCCGAGTGACCCTTGTGTGCAAAGGCGACAATATATTCCCGAGCGCCGATCGATAAGTTAGTCACGTATTATACTGCCTCAGTCGACCACAGAGTGCGCTTGCAGTAAAGATAAAACCCAAACACTAACTCACAGTGTATCTACTTTTGAATTTCGTTTCAGATTATTTTGTCATAACACCAATTTACCCCATCCGTGTAAGCGTTTGATAGAAAAAATTAATTTTCTACAAAATACCATTGACGTCATTTGTAGCTACTATTGGAGCTACTCAAACATTTTTCCCAGTTTAACTTTTAGTCTTTTCTTAAGTTTGGATTCATTCTGGAGCAACTCAACGCTACATACTAAATCGATTGCTTCAATCCACACTCTGCACAGAGTGGAGTCTCAATCTTACCTAATTTGAATAGAGTAATGTCTCGCCGTCACTGTCGTATGTCTGTTACCCGTTGTGCTCGGTGATATGAAAACCGGGGACTTTTTGTTCTGGGTTTCCTGCCAGAGAGAAGTTTCCGGACAGCTTTTACACGTAGTCAATACTGATTCGTTTGCAAATATTATACACGGAACAATTAATTTAATCAATCAAATTTGAACACAGTTATTTGAATTCATTACCTATATACATACATGATGATTCACTTATCGTACTCGCCCCGTTTTTTTGCTTAAGTTTTGCTTACATTCAAATTCTGATTTTTGGAAATTCAAAAGCCAATATTTTCGAATACTTGGATTTTTCACAACATTTAAGGAGTATCCTGTGGTGATACTGACTTTAAAAACTATCAAATTCGGCTTTTCAAACGAGAACCTACATTAAAAATTACATAAACAGACGGAATATACTATTTGATTTCCGTCAACCCGTTAACGCGATATTCCACTTTTAAGTTTAGATAGGGGGAGGCTAGTCGAGTATCATTTGTGTGGCGGCACGGCGCGCGGCGTTTTATTAGTGCTCTACTACTCACCCCCTACCTAAACTTAAAAGTGGAATATCTCGTCGACGGGTTGACGAAAATCAAAAATGTTGACACCATAATGTATTTAAAGTAACACTACGTCTATTCAGGGAAATTTTCAATACATAGGTTCTCGTTTGAAAAACCAAAGCCGGTATCGCCACAAGACACTCCTTGAAATGTTGTGAAAAATCCAAGTGTTCGAAAGTATCGGCTTTGACTGCACTTGAAAATTCCAAAAATCAGAATTTGAATGCACGTAAAATTTAACAAAAAAACTCGGGTGAACACGCTTAGTGAATCACCCT